TCATGGCTTTGGATTTTGCCGCAGATATCTTGAGCCCCAAGTGATGGTAAGTGGAAGCCAGCAGATTGAGGTCCTCCTGGGCATGCTGCAAAAGCCAACGCTTCCTAGGTACGACAAGTGCCAGGTCATCGGCATAGCTGAGGAGGAAGGTGCCTCTGGAGAAAGGCAGGCGCACCAGCCGGTGCATCAGTACATACAACAGGGTGGGACTAAGCACCCTGCCCTGTGGAGTGCCGTTGTCCAGGGTCTAGAGAGAAGAGGCTTAGGAATCGGTATGATGTCAGCCTCCTTCCATACGACAGGGAGTTTGCCAGCTCGCCAAGTCTGGTTGACGACCCCCAGGACAGCTGAATGTCCAGAATGGCTAGACCGAGTGATCATGCCATAGGTGATACCATCATGCCTCGGTGCAGTGTCCCGATGAGATGTGAAGGCTGCCTGGAGCTCCTGGTCGGTGAAGTCTTCATCCGTGACATCCTTAGCCTGGCATGCCGCTTGGATCACCATCATCCTTCTAGGAAGGAGGGTGGCTTGGAGGTCCTGGAGATCCTGAGGCAGTTGAGCCATGGCTGCTCTGGAGGTGAAAGGGTCAACCAAACGTTCTGCCTCCGTTGCGGGGTCTGGGTGCAACCGAGCAACACTGCGACACTGCCCAGTGGCCAATCGTAACTTGGTCCAAATCTCAGATAAGGTGGAGGAGTAGCTGAAGGAGGCATACCACTTGAACCATTTAGCCTGCCGGACCCTGTGTAAGACATGGCGTGCATGCCACACCACTTCCCTGAGCAGATGCATGGACTCAACTGTGGGATTATGCCTGTGCATCTTGCGTACGACATTGATGTGGTGGTTCTGCTCCCTGATATCCTCATTGTAAAACCACCAGTCACGTTTATATGACCCTCCGCCTGTAATCTTAGGTATGGCTGCCTCAGCTGCACATGTGAAGGCCACCTGCAAGCTTTGAGCCGCCTCATCTGGGTCTTCTGGAAGAGGAGACTCTGCCCACCAGCGCTCAATGACCTACTGGAAGCACTGCCAGTCGGCCCTTTTTAGATTCCATCTGGGGGCAGGTGTGGGGAGCGGACACCGCTGGACCATCAGCGTGGTGACCACTGCAAAGTGATCACTGGTGAGACGGGGGTGGACCTCCCATCTCGCACTCGAGAGCAACTGCCTGGAGATGAGTGTGACGTCCAAGCGGCCACCATAGTGATGGGTTGGCTCACCATTATTGAGGAGGGCGATCTCAGGGACCTCCTCCAGCACAGCCACAAGGTGCCTCCCAGCTGCATTGGTAGGAGAGACAGAAGAAAGTGTTGGGTGGTGGGCATTGACATCCCCAGCCACAACAAGACCCTCCCGTGGGGCGAGTGCTGCCACCGCTGAAATGTCAAGGGTGTACCGAGAGCTTCTGTAAATATTGTAAACCACGAGAGGTCCATCCAGTAGGTGTAGGGTGACAGCCTGAACCTCTACGCCCTCCACACAGTTGATGGGGTCATTGGAGATTGAATGAGGGATAGTGGTCCTGACGTAGATCGCCGTGCCCCTGCCAGTCCCTTCCAGGTGCTGAAGGTAGGCCGAGAATCCCGGGATACGTGGCTGCATTTGATGTGACGAATTGGTAAGTGTCTCCTGGAACAGGAAGATATCAACCTCATCCTGAACTGCAGCTTCAATCACTAAGTGAATTTTCCACTGCAGCCCTCAAATGTTCCACTGGAGGATCTTCAAGGGCTGCAGAGGTGGCCCTCTGATTCCATCTCTGCCTGGGACTCGTCGTCCGTTGTTGGCGACTCCGGGGCCTCCTCCATCACGGACTGGAAGGACTCCTGGATGATGGCCTGAAGTTCCATTGAGTCCTTCCTGTCCAGTAGGACCAGGCCTAGCACCCATGACAGGAGCTGTCTGCAGGTGCCCTTGTCCTCCGCCGACGGCAACAGGCGACAGAGGAGTGCTGAGATGACCCCGATGGTTTTCTTCAGTCGATCGGGAAATGATTCGACCATTACCTCCGCAGGCATTGAGCTGGACGACCCGTCGAGTCGGTGCTGGGTCACTGGGTATGTCTGGGTGGCTGTTGACACTGCAGCAGCATAAGCTGGGTGCACCCTGGGCCCAGCCTGAGTGGCCATGGGCTTCTGGGTCCCCTGGCAGGGAACCTCTGCCTGACTCTGGCCGCTCACAGTAGGGGCCTGCCCTTGGGAAGAGGCCTGCTGGTGGTATGGCAAAGAATGTTGGTGCCCAGCTGGGACCTGCTGGGCAGTGTGCCTGGCCTGTGGCTGTTTTTCCCATTGATTCTGTCTTCTTGGCCACCTTACCATCTGACCCCGTAGTTGACCACGTTGCTGCAAGCCAGTGCATGCCCTCTGATGCAACTGCTGGGAGCCCAGTGCCGGGAACTCATTGGTATTGCCCTCCTGCGGTATCTGGGGAACCGCGGTCGGAGCCCATACCGACTGTTGCTGGGTGGTTCCAAGGCTGGGTGGTGTCGGGGCTGTCGGGTCGTTCCGATGACGAACCTGCTGCCAGTGCTGCACCATCACAGGACAGCTCCAGTTCCAGGCATGGTGCCTCTTTGAGCAGTTGGCACACTTGGGCTCTGGCCAAAGGGCTTTGCCGGTTGGCTGTTTGAGGATGGCAATGCAGTCCTTCGAGTCGTGTGCCTTGCTGCACACACCACACTTCTTCTCTCGCTGGCAGGAAGTTGCAATATGATTGAACCCCTGACAGTTGAAGCATTGTACTGGGCCCAACAGGTATGGTCGGGTCTTGAATCTTCCCCAGACCCCAAGGTCCAGGTGCGTGGGAAGTGGACCTTTGTGGTGGATCAGCACCTGGCGGGTGGGCACCTTGTTCACTGTTGCAGTGAGTCGCTCTGCCTTGGCAACATTGGGCACTTCCAAAATGGGGTCCAGTGGGAGGGGCACAGGGACGTGTAAGAGCACCCCCTTGTACACCTTCTCCGAAGCAACCAGTTCCACCATGCTGGGATGGGTCATAACCAGCCCCCAGCCCCTTCAATTCCTCGTAAGAATCCTCGTCCCGAGGAATGACCAAAACCTCGTTCCTGAGAGTGAACTCGCAGTGGAACTTGAGGCGGGGTAGACCTTCCAGATACCTTACAAACCCGTAATCCGGAACCTTGAATTTGTTGAAGGCCCTGGTTGCTTGTGCCAGAGCTGAGCGGGAATTCCTCCGTCCACGTGGAGCCAGCCAGTCCCCGTCCACTGTGGAGGCCAGCGCAACTGGTGTAGGGACCTGGGATGGCTCTATCCTTGCCGGTTGTGGAGCTACAGCCTCCTGGCTTCCTTCCACAATCCCTATGGCCATCTGGGGGTGCAAGTCTCCTTGGGTAGCGGCTGCCGACGGATCTAGTGGCAGATTGGCAGATACAATAGTTTCTACTGCATCCTTGGCCTTCTTGGTGGGGGCTCCCACCTGCCCCACGTCGTCCTCCAACTCGTCCCCGCATTCCAATGAACGTTTAGGCCGCTCTCCTGGGTCTGTCATGGTGACTGCCCTGAAACACTGAACACAGTCCAAGAACCACTAGAAACGTCGCCAATCTGTGCGTAAACTAACACTGATATATATTCCAAGCGAACACAACACACTCTGTCCTACGATCTTTCCACACCGGTGTTCCGTATCCAATCTCCCGTTATACCGCGCCCTGTGTGAGCTACTGGTAAATTCTTCCGCTCAAGGAAATGTGATTTTTTTACTTTCTACCTTCTGTCACTTTTATGTTAATACATTCATCACATGGAATATTATATACAACATGTAAGATACAATGCTGAGATTTTATTTTTTTGTCAACTTACGTTTGCCATATTAATTCAACGATTATTCAAACCACATGAAATTCTCAAAAGCACACAGTCTCATCTATGTATTCAGTGCTGAACTGAAAACGAATAAAAATTTCCTTTCTCTAGCTTTCGGGAAATAAGTACCAATCCACAAGTATGTGTCCGGGACACTGGAGGCTACTTCAGAGATTGTCTTCACCTCAATATTGAAAACCTCAGCACATGGAGAGGCTCCCAGGAACATTGAAGTTTTAACACTCCTGCCTTGTTATACGAGTCGAGAGCACCTGTGGCAAACCAAACTTTCCTTTATGGCCTCTTGAAGAACTAACAAGAGTTCGAAAAGCTCAGATATGCTCTTTCCAACCTCTTCAAGTGGTCAACCAGTGAGGCAATGAAAGAAAAAAATAGGTAGATAAGTAGATGAATAGATAGATATATAGACAGCAAGAGAGAGAGAGAGAGAGAGAGAGAGAGAGAGAGAGAGAGAGAGAGAGAGAGAGAGAGAGAGAGAGAGTGAGAGAGAGAGAGAGAGAGAGGAGAGAGAGAGAGAGAGAGAGAGAGAGAGAGAGAGAGAGAGAGAGAGAGAGAGAGAGAGAGAGAGAGAGAAGAGAGAGAAGAGAGAAGAGAGAGAGAAGAGAGAGAAGAGAGAAGAGAGAGAGAGAGAGAGAGAGAGAGAGAGAGAGAGAGAGAGAGAGAGAGAGAGAGAGAGAGAGAGAGAGAGAGAGAGAGAGAGAGAGAGAGAGAGAGAGAGAGAGAGAGAGAGAGAGAGAGAGAGAGAGACTGATGTCAAGGTACCACACTCAACTCAACTTCGCGGACAACGAGAAGACAGCTCCTACACAACAAGACGGGCAGCAAACAGCAACTACGCTCTGGCTATACCCTTCTCAAGAACATCAATTCATTGGAGATCATTCATTCCAAGAACTTTTCGAGTCTGTAACATTCTCCTACAACATAACGACATCGATGAAATACAGTTGGCTAAATGAGTTCGCTGATGAAGAAATGGCTCCAATAGAGAGAGAGAGAGACAGACAGACAGACAGACAGACAGACAGACAGACAGAGACAGAGACAGACAGACAGAGACAGACAGAAAGACACAGATAAACAGACAGACAGAGCCAGGAGTGGGGAAGGGAACACATAAGAAAGGCCTGTTACAACACTTACCCAGGAAGCTGAGGATGAGCAGGGCGCCTCCTACATGCTCCTGCCGCCGCCCCCACATCACTCCTGCAGGACCCAATATTCTCTTAGTTAATATAATAATAATAATAATAATAATAATAATAATAATAATAATAATAATAATAATAATAATAATAATAATTTTTTTTATTAGAAGTAGTAGTAGTAGTAGTAGTTTAGGAAAACAGTATTGATTATAGTGTAAATAACATAGTACTATAATATGAGGGTGATGGAGGTAAGAATCTCTACTTAGCATTATTTAACACACCGACAGTCTCCTACCGAGAAGGGTGACAGAAAAAAATAGAAGAAACACTGTCACCGTCACTTATTCCGTCACCGTCTTGCCAGAGGCGTGCCAGCACTACAGCTCAGATACTTCTCAAAACTGTATGATCCCAGCTCCTCCGTCAGAGTGCGGGCACTGTACTCTCCACCTCCGGGACTCAAGTTCGACTAACAAGTTTTACTGAATTCCTTTATTAATGTTTTCTTGCTTCCACCCCATGAGCACATCAAGTCATAAAAATCACTTACCTCGACTACTCTCCCACACGCTTGCTCACACCTGTTGGATGTCCGATCCCATCGTACATAAAACCTTCTTTACACCCTCCCTTCACCATTCCTGGGTGTCTCCTGTCCTTACAACTCTCCGATGCAGATCCTCATACAAACTCTCAACTGTTTTAAGTAACCTAGTACCTATTCCAAACATTTGCAAAATCTGCCACATTGCTCTCCTATCCATCTTCTCATGTTCCTTTTTCTAAATGCATAAATGCAACAAAACTTTCTTACTTTTATCTAAGTACTGTTCGCTTATATGCTTCAGTGTAAACACTTGGTCTACGCTTCCATTATCCTTCCTAAAACGTTGTTTATATGCGATCTTGCTCTCTGTCTTAACCTTAATTCTACAATGCACTTTACCTGGTATTCTCAATAGGTTTATTTACCTTATTATTTTAACACTCCTTCATACTGAAGAAATATACACGCTTTCTTCCCCTTTTCATACAATTAATGAATAAATGTTCCAAGCACTCCAAAGCTATATCCTCACCTGCTTTTAGCATTTCTATCTTGATCCCGTTAATCCCAGCTGCTTTACCTCCTTTCAGTCTACCTACTTCCTCATTTCTCCATCTTACCACTCACATTTTGGCTTTTCCTCACAATTCAAGATGTTACGCCTCCCTGCTCAGTACAAGAGATCAGTCCTAAATCTATTTGTCCCTTAGGCTTTCTGAACTCATTAGTCTCACTCCAAACCTTTTTTTATTCTCAGAAAAAATTGTTGTCAAAATCTCACCTACTTCTAATTTCATTTCCTTTTACACTCCCACATATTCATATTCTAAACTTTCGTATTTCATTTGTGCTTTGTAAAAACCTCTCATATGCTAACTTTTTCTCCATAATCACTTTCCTTACCTCATCATAACACCAATCACACCTATTCCCTCCAACACCCACCCTCCTAAATCCAAAAACTTTTGCTGCGCACTTTAACACCCACTACATTACAAACTCCACCCCCACAGCAACAACCCATAGTTCCTTACCAGGTCTCCCACTTCCCCAACCCCAATATACCTCCCAGACCACAGTCTTAGAAAAGAAGTTGAAGGTGTGGTATACAAATGCAGATGGAATAACAAACAAGTATGAGGAGTGACACGAAAGAATCAAAGAGACATCCCCAGACATAATAGCACTCACAGAAACAAAACTCACCAGAATAATAACAGATTCAATCTTTCCATCCGGATATCAAATCCTCAGGAAAGACAGAGGGAGGAGAGGGGGAGGAGGATTTGCACTGCTCATTAAAAACCAGTGGGGTTTTGAGAAAATGGAAGGAATGGATGGCACGGGCGAAAGGGACTACTTAGTAGGAACAATCCAGTCTGAGGGACATAAGGTGATAATTGCAGTAATGTACAACCCACCACAGAACTGCAGGAGGCCAAGAGAAGAATACGATGAGAGCAACAGAGCAATGATCGACACACTAGCCGAGGTGGCCAGGAGAGCACACATGGGGGGAGCAAAGTTACTAGTTATGGGTGATTTCAATCACAAGGAGATTGACTGGGAAAACCTGGAGCCCCATGGGGGTCCCGAAACATGGAGAGCCAAGATGATGGATGTGGTACTGGAAAACCTCATGCATCAACATGTTAGAGACACTACCAGAGAGAGAGGAGAGGATGAACCAGCAAGGTTGGACCTTGTATTCACCATGAGTAGTTCGGACATCGAGGGTATCATGTATGAAAGGCCCCTGGGAGCTAGTGATCATGTGGTTCTGTGCTTCGACTACATAGTTGAGCTCCAAGTGGAGAGAGTAGCAGGAATAGGCTGGGAAAAACCAAACTACAAAAGGGGGAACTACTCAGGCATGAGGAACTTCCTTCAAGACATTCAGTGGGAGAGGGAACTGACAGGAAAACCAGTACAAGAAATGATGGACTATGTAGCAACAAAATGCAAGGAGGCAGAGGAGAGGTTTGTTCCCAAGGGAAACAGAAATAATGGGAAGAACATAACGAGTCCTTGGTTCACCCAAAGGTGTAGGGAGGCAAAAACTAGGTGTACTAGAGAATGGAAAAAGGTACAGAAGAAAGAGAACTCAGGAAAATAAAGAAATCAGCCGAAGAGCCAGAAACGAATATGCACAGATAAGAAGGGAGGCTCAGAGACAATATGAAAATGACATAGCATCAAAAGTAAAGACTGACCCGAAGCTGTTGTACAGCCACATCAGGAGGAAAACAACAGTCAAGGACCAGGTAATCAGACTGAGGAAGGGTGATGGGGAATTCACAAGAAACGACCGAGAGGTTTGTCAGGAGCTCAACACAAGATTTAAAGAGGTATTTACAGTGGAAACCAGTAGGACTCCAAGAAATCAGAACAGGGGGCACACCAGCAAGTGCTGGATGAGGTACATATAACCAAGGAGGAGGTGAAAAAGCTGCTATGCGAACTTGACACCTCAAAGGCGGTGGGACCAGACAACATCTCTCCATGGGTCCTTAAAGAGGGAGCAGAGATATTGTGTGAGCCATTAACAAAGATCTTCAACACATCATTTGAAACTGGGCAACTCCCTGAGGTATGGAAAATGGCAAATGTAGTCCCAATTTTTAAAAAGGGAGACAGACATGAGGCACTAAACTACAGACCTGTATCACTAACGTGTATAGTATGCAAGGTCATGGAGAAGATCATCAGGAGAGTGGTGGGGCACCTGGAAAGAAACAAGTGTATAATTGACAACCAGCACGGTTTCAGGGAAGGAAAATCCTGTGTCACAAACCTACTAGAGTTTTATGACAAGGTGACAGAAGTAAGACAAGAGAGAGAGGGGTGGATCGACTGCATATTTTTGGACTGCAAGAAGGCCTTCGACACAGTTCCTCACAAGAGGTTACTGCAAAAGCTAGAGGACCAGGCACACATAACAGGAAAGGCACTGCAATGGATCAGAGAATATCTGACAGGGAGGCAACAACGAGTCATGGTACGTGACGAGGTGTCAGAGTGGGCGCCTGTGACAAGCGGGGTTCCACAGGGGTCAGTCCTAGGACCTGTGCTGTTCTTGGTATATGTGAACGACATAACGGAAGGGATAGACTCAGAAGTGTCCTTGTTTGCAGATGATGTGAAGTTAATGAGAAGAATCAAATCGGACGAGGATCAGGCAGGACTACAAAGAGACCTGGACAGGCTACAAGCCTGGTCCAGCAACTGGCTCCTTGAATTTAACCCTGCCAAATGCAAAGTCATGAAGATTGGGGAAGGGCAAAGAAGACCGCAGACACAATATAGTTTAGATGGCCAAAGACAGCAAACCTCACTCAAGGAAAAAGATCTGGGGGTGAGTATAACACCGAGCATATCTCCTGAGGCGCTCATCAATCAGATAACTGCTGCAGCATACGGGCACCTGGCCAACCTACTTATAGCGTTCCGATACCTCAGTAAGGATTCGTTTAAGACTCTGTATACCATCTACGTCAGGCCCATACTGGAGTATGCAGCACCAGTTTGGAATCCACACCTAGTCAAGCACGTCAAGAAATTAGAGAAAGTGCAAAGGTTTGCAACAAGACTAGTCCCAGAGCTACGGGGATTGTCCTATGAAGAAAGGTTGAGGGAAATCGGTCTGACGACACTGGAGGACAGGAGGGTCAGGGGAGACATGATAACGACATATAAAATACTGCGCGGAATAGACGAGGTGGACAAAGACGGGATGTTCCAGAGATGGGACACAGACACAAGAGGTCACAATTGGAAGTTGAAGACTCAGATGAATCAAAGGGATGTTAGGAAGTATTTCTTCAGTCATAGAGTAGTCAGGCCATGGAATAGCCTAGAAAGTGATGTAGTGGAGGCAGGAACCATACAGAGTTTTAAGGCGAGGTATGATAGAGCTCATGGGGCAGGGAGAGAGAGGACCTAGTAGCAATCAGCGAAGAGGCGGGGCCAGGAGCTGTGAATCGACCCCTGCAACCACAAATAGGTGAGTACAAATAGGTGAGTACACACACACACACACACACACACACATACACACACACACACACAGACACACACACACACACACACACACACACAGACACACACACAAAGACAGGATGTTCCAGAGATTGGACACAGTAACAAGGGGACACAGTTGGAAGCTGAAGACACAGATGAATCACAGGGATGTTAGGAAGTATTTCTTCAGCCACAGAGTAGTCAGTAAGTGGAATAGTTTGGGAAGCGATGTAGTGGAGGCAGGATCCATACATAGCTTTAAGCAGAGGTATGATAAAGCTCACGGCTCAGGGAGAGTGACCTAGTAGCGATCAGTGAAGAGGCGGGGCCAGGAGCTCGGACTCGACCCCCGCAACCTCAACTAGGTGAGTACACACACACACACACACACACACGAGTATGCACAAATAAGGAGGTAGGCTCATCATCGACAGTACGAAAACAACATAGCATCGAAAGTCAAGTCTGACACGAAACTGCTGTATAGC